GCCCCAGAGCAGAGAGAGAGACGGAGAGAGAGACGAGAGAGAGGACACCAGAGAGACCAGAGAGAGAGACACCAGAGAGGGAGCAGAGCGGTTGGAGAGAGAGAGACCAGAGAGCCACACACTCTCTCTCTTGTTCATCTCGTCGTTCATTAGCCCAGCCGCCTGTTCCACATCGTTCTTCCTCAGCGCAGGATTGCTCCGTGAGAGTTTGAATGGATTTGGAGTTGGCTCAGACCTCCTGGAGGCGCCGAGGAGGCGGAAGGGCGGAGGGAGGAAGAGTAGAGGAGCAGGCCGATACTCCACAAACTCTGGTTCAGAGCCTCATTTCCCTGTTTCATAGCGCACGCTTCTGCCTCCGCTCCAAGGAACTCTCCACTTACATTAGGCCCAGAGACAAACGCTGCGCTAATACTGATGCCACTCCCGAGGAAGAGGAAGAGGAGGCGAGGAGGGGAGGAGGCGAGGCAGGGTACGATGGGTTTAACGCACAGCTGGAGGCTAATGGTATGTTTAACTATGAGAGGGAGGAGGCAGGCGAGGCGGGGGACGCCAGGAGAGGAGGAAGAGAAGGGGGAGGAAGAGGACAGAGTGGAGAAGACCGACGGGAACAGGGGGAAGAAGAGGAGGTATTGAGTAGGAGGGGGGCGGAGGAGGAGGAGATGGAGGCAAGGCGGCGGCAGAGGAAGGGCTGATAGGAGACAGGAGGAGGAAGAGGGGGGGCGAGAGGAGGACGAAGCGGGACGGAGGGAGGGTGGGAGACGACCGCGGGGATGGTGGAAGAAAAGGAGGCGGTAGAGGAGGTGGAGGCACGAGCGGATTTGGTTGTTGCATTCTATATTATCTTCACATGAACTGCCTGAGCTTTTGCAGGTTCTGTTGGTAGACCTCTCTGCTGCAGCCACTCAAAGCCTTCTCCTCTCAACCAATCACCCGAGCGCTGCCAGTCTACGCCCCATAAGCAGATGTTAAACACGCGGACAACTTCCCCCAACATCTGACCCCTTTTCTCAACCCTCGCACGTAGTGGTTCTGGCGGCGGACTCGGAGCATGAACAGATTTCACACTATTTGCATCCAAAGTCACCAGTATTTCAGGCCTATTGTGACACACACACACAGAGACACACACACCACACCACACCCCACACACACACACAACAGCGCACCGACACCACCACACAGAGAAACACCTACACCATGTAACGTACACACCACAGATAGTTAATGTGCAGCCGAATCCATCTGTTTGGCTTGGCTTGACAGTGATGGCGAGATGTATGTTTTGCCTGACCGTGTACGCAATTTCTCCATGGAAACAAGAAGCGATGGAAGACATCAGAACTTAATTCTCAAAAATAATATTCATGCACATTTTACAACAAACCATACACAACACTATTGTACATGTGACTTGTATTGTTGTTGTGAGAACATGTAATACCTGTGTGTCTCTTTGGACTCTCTCTGGTCTCTCTCTGGTCTCTCTCCTGGTCTCTCTCTCCGTCTCTCTCTCTGGTTTCTCTCTGGACTCTCTCTGGTCTCTCTTGGTCTCTCTCTGGTCTCTCACTGGTCTCTCTCTAGTCTCTCTCTCTGGTTTCTCTCTGGTCTCTCTTGGTCTCACTCTGGTTTCTCTCTGTCTCTCTCTGGTCTCTCTAGGTCTCTACTCCCTGGCTCCTTTAAACTATTGCACTCTCGTCTCGATAACCTAGTGGCTCTGCTCGGTCTGGCGCTGCTTGGTTGGCGCTGCTCGGTCTGGTTCTACTCGGTCTGGTTCTGCTCGGTCTGGTTCTGCTCGGTCAGAATCTGGCCTCGTCTGGTTTCTAGCTCGGTTGGTTCTGGTCCCTTTATTGGTTATAATACACACTATTCAACACTATTATCCATTGACACAAACTTGACTTCCGATCGATTTCTTTCTTCTTGCCCTACAAGTAACTAGTAGAAGCAACCCCAGAGGAGAAACGTTCTCATTGCCACACCAAGCCCCGTATACCTCAGAGCGTGAACCGACCTTATAAATGGACTCAGCGGGCAACAACACCCTACCGCTCACATGATAACAGATCAAAGACAAAGATATGCTCAGTCACATCGGAGGCGCTCAGAGGAGAGCTGCTGTTCCTCCCTGTTGCGGTTCTGGCCCTGGCCATATGGCTTATTTCTTTGTCCCATTGCCAGCATCTTGTTTTTCAGGTAGCGACAGGTGCCGATGCGTATACCATATTTTTGCCACATTATTTATACGATTTTTGGTAGTTTCTATCCTAGCTTTTGCCGTATCGCATAGGACACCACCACCCACACTTACCATCTTCACACCTTTTATCGATTTTATGTGTTTACCTCCATCCATACATTTGTTTTGGGACCATCCTCACACCCGAGCCACGCGTCCGGCCACACCCTCTCACTCTCTCTCTCTCTCCAGACACCGGGACTGACCATGGGCAGCTGAGTCTGTGGTACATTTCCCATACATGACCCGGTGCCCGATACTCACACGCCATCGCTGAACAAACGCCTCCCACTTCAAGGCCGCGTGCCACCGCATTGGCCTTATAGCCGTTTACTCTCATTCACCTCCGTTGGTGATTCCACGCTTGACTACCATGCACAACGCCCAGGCCAGAGTGTCCACAGGGAGAGAGCCGTCCCGCACTCTGACTTAGGCTCGATTGTGGCCCTTCGTGTGTTTTTCATCCACTGCCAAGCTGCTGCGAGGATGGGCCCGGCTGGTTTCAATTTCTCCGTATGCTTTGCATAGCACCCCAGGCCGCACCACACTTATACCTCCTCTTATTTTTCCTTGCCTTGTGTTAGTTCCACGGACATGCACAATAACTAGGCTACGCGACTACCGCAGGTTAACCGTAATAGGAACCGCGCCACCGCTCATAGGGTCTGCACGTACTGCTTCTCCTGAGACCAGGCGAGGTCTGTCTGTATGTGCGCCAAGCGAGGTCGGCCTGTTATACTGAGACCAGGGATGCTGCTCACTACTGTGAGTCTTCCTGTTCATCTTCCTTACTTCGTTTCGTATTGCCTTGCTTCTTTCATTTTGCCTAAAGGCGAGCTATTTCTTTTATATATATCATTCTTTCGTGGTCGTGCTTGCTCATTTATCTATGGCTTATATCTAGGTGCAGTCCGTTCCAGAGCTCTGCATGGGTCAGGCTCCCCCCATTATCTCAGCGGCTCTGCTTCCGCCTTTATACCCCCACTCGGGCCACTGAGGGTCTGTGGCTCAGCCCCCATGTTGCTAGGTCCCAAGCCCCGCGCATTCGGCCCCAGGGGCGAGCCGGGTCCTTCAGGCTGTTGCGCCTACGCTCTGGACAACACTCTCCTGCTCTCTACTGCAGGCTGATGGAGGTTCAAGTTGATTCATTTCACACAGGTTCCGCTAAACACTGTACTTTATTTGGGCACGCTTTTACCTATGTGTCTTGCGGCTTTTTTTTTCGACACCTGTCACTGAGTTGTCTTGGCGCAATATATTTTATTACTATCTTTTTTAGTCTGCACATTTTCAATTGTCATTTAGTTTCAGTTATACAGCTATTGCAGGGCTTTGTGGACCCTGGTCTGTGCACCGGCGCCTGTACTACCATTACACGCTTACCTTACTTCCTTGTCCTTTACCACCTGACATTTCCCCCCTGTCCGGCACACTACCAGCCTACTTTTCCTTCCCTACACTCACAATCTGCGCGAGCGCTAACCCCCCACCACGCCTTTCGTTTTTCCTGCGACACGAGCTCTTGCACAGTCTGCGGCCCGTGTGATTTATCTTCTTATTATAAACCCCGCATTACTCCCACCACACGCGATCGAGGCACTCGGCGCTTGATTTAGCTTCTTATGTCTGCTGTGCCAACAGCTCCAGTGGCGCTCTTTCCTCCCCACGTTGGTTGACATCTCCATGTCCGGGACTACCTGGCTACACGCCGCAGCCTGTCCTTGTTCGCTTGTCACCGTCTGCCCGTGCAGAGAGCGATGGACCTGTGTTCGGCCACGGTGTACATTCCGCGGCCGCCGGCGCTTCCCGCCGGTCCCGCGGCCAGCATAGTGTGGTGACTGACGCACAATTTGACCTGTCCGGAGGATACCATGTGACCCCCCCACCCCTGCCCACACCACCCGGACGCGCGAGAGCACCACCGGCCACCGCATCCCCCAACCCCCACACTATCCTACTACTGCCTACAGCATTCTATCGCGCACTTTTTTGGACCACTCCCAACGCCGCATTGACATGTCCTTATTCATTCCCCACCGCTGCCCTGGGGCACATTGGCCCGACCGTGCGGCCACGCAGTAATGTGCCCATGACCCCTCTGACCCCCACTCCAACTTCCCACCCCCCCGGACTCCATTCACGTGCAATGGGGGGTAACGTGTCTTGCCTCAGGACACCAACGGCCAGGTTGGCACTTTACAGCCGCCACAGCCGCCCCATGTGGCTTCGGTGTTCCCCGAGGTTCACGTGTTATGCCAGGCCACAACGACAGTCGGCCAAGTGGGCAGGTCGGTGGAGTCCGGTCCTGTTAGTGGCTCGACACCCAACGACCCTTCCGGCTCACAAGGCCCCCTGCGTCTCTCCCACTGACGCCACTGTCGCCCCCCGGTCCTGACACCCTGTAGGTGTTGCCCCCCCTCCCATATAAGGTGCCCCACATGCCCACCTGAGACAACAACACCTATATTTTTTATAAACTATTCAATATTATATATGCCACATTCTGACGGGTGTTCACCCCCTGCTATACTCCCATGCGACCACGCCCATTTTGCTTCTGCTTTCACGAACTGTTGCTCTTACATTTCCTCACTTTCACAAAGAGACATTTCTGCATCTTATCACGCAACTCCCGGACGGGGGCCCCAGGGTCGCCCCCGGCACCCGCTTGGGGGGCCTGTCTCTCAGCCACTCCATGGGCCCGCCTTGGGGGTCCCCCCGGACGCCAAACTGATATTATTTATTGTAACTTTGGTTGGGGAACAGTACATAGTTCATGACACACATCACTCCCGTCATTTGTCCTGCTGCGTTGCTCTCCACTCCGCCACCAGGCAGGAGGAGCGTGCTGTCTTGGTGGCTCGGGGCGATCTAGGGCGATCTCTGCTTCGACTGCTGCCCCCCCGACCCTGGCCCCCGGCTGGCCGCGGTACGAAAATGGGGTGGCTGGATGACACATTTCTGTAATCTTTATTAAAACCCACTTCCTTATGCTTTGTCCATTGGCGCCTACCCCCCCCGATCCCCCCTGTGCTACAACTCAGGACTAGCAATTTTGCCCCCTCGTGATAACCTCAATTGCTTTATTTTGTGTCCCCTTTTATGCCGTTGTTACTATTCTTTCTCCCCGCCCTTCATAGGATTCGCCAACCCCACCTCCGCACACCTCCTCTGCAGCGCATCCCCTCTTCTTAGCCTTCCTCATTCCATTCACCTAACACAGCTTTACCCATCACCTATCTATGTGCTGGTATTCCCCGCTCCTTCAACCCATTAACCACACACGTTGTCTCATTTACCCCCCGACACAACAACACCTCTCAGACATCCCTCTCCAGCAGCTTCGTTCTGTGCCGGACAACTCTTTTATGCTCATGTCTAGTGCGCTCCCATCCCAAATCCGCTCAGGCACTATGGGACGACATTTTGCACCTTTGTCTTATTCCATCTTGCCACACACGCACGCAACACGGCCGCGGCTCAGATACCGCCGTTTGTAGCATTAGCGATCCCCTTTGAGCGCCTCCCCCTGCTTGCGTCGGGCCCGAGCCCGGACGCGAGCCAGGCCGTTGGACCTGGAACTCGGACCGCCGGTACATGGGCCCCCGTCAGCAGTTTTGTTGGTGAGCGGCAGATTTGAACCCACGCAGATTTACCCGAGCGAGCCGCGAGCTCCCATTTTCGACTCTTTCCTAATTTGCAGGAGTGGCAGGCGCTGCGGCGGCGGCGGCTGGTTAGAAGATTCGCGGTAGCGGAGGCGCGCGTCCCACCTGCGGACGCCACACAGTCTGCATTTCGAACAGCTTTGAAGGCAGCTCTCCCGCTTTGCGTACTCCTGTCGGTGCGGCCTCATCGTGTCTGATTGCCCGCCCCGCCAGCGAGGCGCGTATCCCCTTGCCTCCTTCTGCCGATGTTCCCGAGCGACTTTTTTTTTCCTCCTCTCTCTTCCTCTGGTTACCCGGTCCCTCTCCCCCCCCCCCACCAACCCCCCCAACCGCTTCCCCACTCCATACACACCCACTGTGCCTTACACCAACACCACACGCCACACCCACACGAGGCGCGCGCGCACCCCCACACCGACCCAGGATTACTGCTTGTAAGAGAATGTTTGCCTGCTCCTGTTGTATATTTGTTATGGCCCTACCACCGGTCGTGCCGTTCCATGTGGGTATGTGATAGCCCACTGCCACCCGTGGTGGAACAATCCCTGCTCAATGTGTTCCAACTTTGGCAACACTGTGTCTTCTTTGGTTGTTTATCCCTTCTTGCCAGTGTACCTCGATTCGGGGAACGGGCTCGCTCCTGCCAGCACCTCAGCAGCCTCCGCACTGGGCAGGGGCCTCGTATCGGACACTGTGCTGGACGGGCCTCTGGGCAGTCTGGGAGTTATACCGACACCTTGGCGAGCCTTGCTGTGACAAATGTCATATATCAATCTCACCCACCCAACTGGGTTTCCTCATTCCACTCTCGAGTATCTGCTGGGGACATGCGGAGCCCCAGGGCACTAGGGCCATCCTGCTGGGCCCCACTGCGGGAGCCCCGGGCACTGTGCCTCCTGCCTGGGACGTCTGCGGCGGCCACCGGGTGCCTGGCCTCCTGCTGGGGCCACTGCTGGCGCCCCGAGGCCTGGCCTCCTGCTGGGCCATAGGCGGCAGCCCAGGACTGGCGCGTCTGACTGCATGGGACACTGCGGCGCACCTGGGACTGGCGCTCTTGCTGAGGCCTCTTGCGGAGCCCGGGACTGGTCCTGACCTGCTGGGCCCTGAGAGAGCCCAGGGACCTGGCTCACCTGCTGGGGCCACTGAGGCGCACCGGGACTGCCTCCTGCTAGGGCTCCCTGCGTCGCACAGGGAACTGGGCCACAGCTTGGGACTTGAGGGCAGGGCTGGCTCCTGTGGGACCGCGGGAGCCCCGGATGGCCTCCTGTGGGACATGCGGAGCCCGGGATGGCTCAGCCTGGGACCAGCGGCGCCCGGGACTGGCTCCTGCTTGGACCTGAGGCGCACCGGGCCGGCTCTTGCATGTGCCACTGCGGCGCCCCGAGGACAGCTACCTGCTGGGCCCTCAGGAGCCTCGGGCACTGGCTCTAGCCTGCGGCTCAGCGGAGCACGGGCTCTCCTCTAGCTGCAGACTCATGAGGCACAGGGGCCTGGCCTCTGCTGGGCATGCGGGAGCCCAGGGCCTGCCTCTAGCTGCGACTCAGCGGAGCCCCGGGCCGGGCCTCCATGCTGGGCAGAGGAGCACAGGGCCTGGCCCTACTTGCGGAACTGCGGCGCCCAGGGACTGGCTCAGCTGGGCCACTTGCGGGCACTGGATGGCCTCCAGCTGAGGCCTACTGAGGCGCCCAGGCCTGGCCTCTTCTGGGCCCTGCGGCGCCCAGGGACTGGCCATCTTGCTGAGATACTGAGGAGCCCCGGGGCCCTGCTACGTGCTGGGACCCTGAGGCGCACCGGGACTGGCCTCTTGCAGAGCCTCAGCGGCGCACAGGATGGCCTCCTGCTGGGCCACAGAGGCGCCCGGGCATGGCCACTTGCTGCGCTGCTGCGGCGCACAGGGCCTGGCCTCCTGCAAGGGACTTGCGGCGCCCCGGGCCTGGCCTCTGCATGGGACACAGCGGGCACGGGCTGGCTCCAGTGGGCCATTGCGGACGCCCAGGGACTGGCCTCCATGGCTAGCACCCTCCTCTCTACTCTACTATACTCCACCTCGTTGTAGATGTTGCGCGAGATCGAGTTGTTCTACGAGGAGGCCGTCCCTGAGCTCCTTCAGGACCCCGCAGGCGGCCGTCCTGTGCACCTCGCGATCCCAGCAGGCGGCCGTCCCTGTGCACCTCCGCGACCCAGCCGGAGGCCCGTCCCAGTGCACTCGCGTTCCGCAAGAGGCCAGACCCTGAGCTCCTCCGTGTCCCACGCGGCGCCGTCCCTGTGCACCACCGTTCTCAGCACGCGGCCGTCCCAGAGCTCCTCCGGTCCCGCAGGCGCCCGACCCTATTGCTTCCTGAGTACTCCGCCAGCGGCCAGTCTGTGCTACCTCCGTGTCCCGCCTGCGGCCCGTCCCCTGTGCTCCTACCGAGTTCAGCCAGAGGCCCGACTGAGCTCCACCAGAGTCCAGCAGGAGGCCCGTCCCTGTGCTACCACCGAGTACTCCGCACGCGGCAGTCCCAGTAGCACTCGTGGCCCCGCCGGCGGCCCGTCCCTTTGTTCTCGCGGATCACAGCCGGGCCCGGTCCCTGTGATCTACCGAGTCCAGCAGGCGGCCAGCCCATGTGCACCCCTCAGAGACTCCGCAGAGGCGGTCCCTATGAGCTCCTCCGAGGTCACGCCAGCGGCCAGTTCCTATCTGCTTCCTTTAGTGTCCCCAGCCGGAAGCCAGACCTGAGCTCCTAGCGGTCTTCAGCCGAGGCCTGTCCTGTAGCTCCTCCGTGTACCCCGCCGGCGGCAGACCTGATTGTCTCCGTGTCCCGCGGAGGCAGTCCCTGTGCTCCTCAGTTGATCCGGCACGGAGGCCGTCCCTGTGTCCATCTGTGATCCCAGCAGGGAGGCCCGTACCTGTGCTCCACCGAGTCCAGCAGGAAGGCCGTCCCTGTGCTCCTCCGAGTCCCAGCCGGCGGCCCGTCCCAGTGCTCCCACCGTGTCCCCGAGGCGGCCAGTCCTGAGTCTCCTCCGAGGACCCGCGGAGGCGGACCCTTAGCTACCTCCGGAGACTCCGCTCCTCGCGGCCCGATGAGCATCCACGTGTACCCCGCAGGCGGCCAGACGCTAGTAGCTCTCCGATGTCCCGCAGGCGGCCAGTCCCTGAGACCTCAGATGTCCCAGCCGGAGGCCCGTTCCCTGATGCACTCAGTGTCCCCGCCGGCGGCCCGTCCCCAGTGCTTCCGTAGTCCGCAGGAGGCCTACCTGTGCACTCCGAGTCCAGCACGCACATCGCGAATTGCTTCATGAACCGCTTTGTTTGTGTTATCCTATTGGAATGCACCATTATCCCCAGACACATTCTACCCATTAGTCTGTCAACTCCAGGCCTTCCAGAGGCCCTCCCCTCCACCGTTCTTCACGAGGCCTGCCCTGCTACGCTTATTGATCTGGCAGGATATCCGCCTATCCCCCTACTATTATGTCCCAGCCAGCACAGTAGATCACACCCCACATACAAGCCACATTATAGCCAAAATTGACAATTTCAATTTCTATACCCCCACTGATTGCCGTGTCTCCACACCCCCGCCCATGCACGTATCACTAACCTTATATCGGACCCCCACATACCCCCCAGAGCTGCAAATCCTCCCCGCCAATCCCCTGGGGTCTGAATGATGTAAGTTAGCGCGCGCGTGTGTGTTGTGTTGTGTGAGTTTGGGTCAATATCACTTGGAGTGTAATGGCTTGGGCAATTGCTGGGAGTTGATGGTTATTGGTTGATTGACCGTCCCGAGCACACCGCGAGCGGCGGCCACAAACGTCATCATCAGTCCCCATCTGCGCAGGAGCAGTGGCCACTTCCTTTTACAATGCGTCCCACACGATTCTTCGCCCGACCGGATTACGCACATATGGCGCGCTCCTTCAACGCTATCAACAAGCACGCATTTTGGCCTCCGCTTTGGGCCGCACGCTTCCCTCTCTACCGCCACCGCCGCCGCCGGCTGCCGCTCCTGCCCCCACCATTATGACACGCTGTCCAGCACCTGGGATCTCGTTCTCGTGTACCTTGCGAGATTATACCCTCCGCCGCTCCCGGGGGGAGGGGGGGAGACGGGGGCCAAGCCCTCTAGTCGAGTCCCGGTCCCCCGGCCTGACTCGGTCTGGGCTCGGACCGCACGCAGCCGTGGGGGCGTACTATACCCACCGTATGGCTGCACCTGATACCCACGTTGCTCTGCGCGCGCCTTTTTGACATTACTATGAAAGGCGGCCTCCCCCGCCCCATGTGCAAAAGTGATCCCCATTTATAGCCATGGGCGTTTGGGTAGTAGCGCACCGCCATATCGCATCCCCGACGTATATCAGCACCCGCCCGCCGCAATCAGAGAGCTAGCAGTCAGAGAGGATAATGTATTTGACGTGTGACACAGCGCCCCGTTTGTAGTCTGTTTTCGAGCTAATTACCCCCACACCCCACTGAGCTGGTATTTATACCGCAGTGTAACAGAGCCAGCCATTAGCTGCATATCAACCACGAGTGAGCAGCCAGCCAGCGTGTCGGCGTAGGAATTCCATCAGCTCGGGCGGGTCGCCGGCCAACAACCCCCCAGCCCCTCCGGCCCCCCATCACCGCCCATCTAACATCCCCCAATATGCCACCACCGCATACTTAAACGGCCCAAAGTTCCAGTGTACAACGCCCCATGTTCCCCCTCCCCCATCTAATTAAAACTCCCGATACCCGCCAGCAATAAAAAAAACCCCACCCCCCCCAACACACACACCCCCACCCCCCCCACCCCCCCCCCCACAAACCCCCACCCACCCCCCCCCACCCCCCCCCCCCCCCCCCCTAATATACACATAAATATATTAATCCCCCCCCCCACCCCCCCCCCCCCCCCCCCCCCCCACACCACCCACCACCCACACCCACACCCCCACCCCCCCACCCCCCCCATCAACACAACCCCCCCACACCCTATATTATATATTACACGCTACACCCATTTTTCAACCGCTTCCTCCCCGTAAGCCGGTCGTGGGGGCCGCAGATCTCCGCCGCGCCGCCCCCCGGATCCCTCTCCACACACACCACCTCGCTGGTGGCTGCGTGGGATCGCACTCAGCGCGTACCAACTGGAGTGAGTGTTCCATTCACCAGTCCTGACCCACCCACTCAACCACTACATAAATTCAGTTCGTACCGGTGGGGCCCACGCGTTCAGGCTTGCTGCGGAGCCAAGTCCCCCAGCGTGTCCTGGGGTTTCCCTGGGGCCCCTCCTGGCATTACTAATAAAAGCTGCTCGACACTGATCTCATATCTTTCCTGAGGACATTCAGCAAACCGTTATACTTGACCTACCGGACCCACATGTCTTTGTTCATTGGCGCCTCCATGTTTTACCACCGTCCAGACTGTGTCACCCTCCACTAACTATTTTTTCAAAACACACATTCTTTTTTTCTCTGTTAGTCATGTGGTCACCAAAGAAGGTCAACACCTACATGGTGTAGGACCTTGGGGCGACAGTGGCTCAGTTGGTAGATCATTGGCCTTTGAGCCTGAAGGTCGTGGGTTCGAGCCCACTACATGACCTTCTCCACCGACTCCCACTGTCTACTGTCGTTGTGTCCTTGGCAAGACACTTAACCTCTGGGAACACCAGCCACAGTGGGGCGGCTGTGGCTGTAAAGTGCCAACCTGCCGTTGTGTCCTTAGGCAAGACACTTTACCCCCATTGCCTAGAATGAGTCTGGTGTGTGTGAAGTTGATGGTGGTCAGAGGGGTCGATGGCACATACTGGTTGCCTCACTTCTGTCAATGTGCCCCAGGGCAGCTGTGGTGAATGAATAATGACATGTAAAGCGTCTTTGAGTGTCCAAAAAAGTGCTATATAAATCTGATGCATTATTATTAGTGTGTGTGTTTGTGTATCTGTGTCTGTGTGTTTCTCTCTGTCTGTGTGTGTGCATGTGTGTGTGTGTCACATGTATCTTCCTTACATGACAAAGTGCTCATACCCACATCTTTCCTCGACCGTCTGAATCTCTGCTTCCTCTTAATTACACCGTGTCGAACACATTCCATCTCTCTCACTGTCAGACTGTACAGCGAACAATGACAGGCTGCGGTTAGCCATTTATCACTGACATTATAATTCAACGTTTGGAGTAAAGAGCGCTGTATCTTTGTCACATCAGACAAAAGAAGCAAATCAGTCCGAGTGCCCGACGCTTTGTGGGAGAATTCTGGGTAAAATAATAAAATCACACTTTCGCATACTTTCAGATCTCGTGTCTCATTAAAAACGAATGCTTTGTGTTTTAGTCGCTGCAGATTAAGATTAGGATGAAAATATTCTTTATTTGCCTGACAGTGGGGAAATGTCAGGTGAAAGGACAAGTAAGTAAGTAAGCTTTATTTATACAGCGCCTTTCACAGACCAGGGTCACAAAGCCCTTCAAAGTTATAACAGACAAAATACAATTTAAAATGTGCATACAAAAAATAAAAATATAATGGCCAAGACAACTCAGTGACAGGTTCGAAAAAGCCGCAAGAACATTATGTAAAAGCTTGCCCAAATAAATACGTTTTTAGCTGACCTTTGAATGAATCAACTGACTCCATCAGCCGCAGAGAGAGCAGGAGATTGTTCCAGAGCTTAGGCGCAACAGCCTGGAAGGACCGGTCTCCCCTGGTCCGAAAGCGCGTGCTTGGGACCATCAACATGTTCTGATCCACAGACCTCAGGGCCCGAGTGGGGGTATAAGGCTGAATCAGATCGCTGATATAAGGGGGAGCCTGACCATGCAGAGCTCTGAACGACTGCACCAATATAAGACAAGATAAATGAGCAATCACTACACTAAAATGAAATAATATAAAAGAAATATCTCGCTTTAGCAAAATAAAGAAGCAAGTCAACTAAACGAATTATTAATATGAACATGAATACACACAGTATTGATCATATCCCTGTCTCAGTATACATGCGGACCTCTCTTGTCTCACATACAGACCTCTCCTGTCTCAGTATACAGTACGTGCAGACCCTATTATCGTGGCTCTTTCCTATACTTTTAACTGCTTAGTCTCGTATCCATTATTTTCATTTCCTTGACTACACAAGGCAAGTAAAAAAAATATGTGTATAAGTTGTTGCGTCCTGGTTTTCATGCAATCATACTGATAAATGTAAACCAGTCGTTCCATCCTCTCATTCATTTGCATGTGATTAAAAACACGAGGGCCCAATCGAGGCCTAAGCAGATTCGTGACTTCTCCCTGTTACACTCTGGCCTGTGGCTTTTTCATGTATTCAAGTTTAATCACACGGAGGTAATTATAGAAATGCAAAGGCAATTCTGTGCACGGGCTTTAATTGGAGGCGTATTTCAGCGATGGCTTTTATATCGGTCACTGGTCATGTATGTAAATGTCACAGACTCAGCCCATGTTCAGTCCTGTGTCTGTGAGAGAGAGAGAGAGTGAGAGGTTTGTCCGGACTCTTCTCTGTGTGAGGGATGTCCCAAAACAAATTTATTGATGTAGGAACACATAAATCATAAAGTTGTTAATATGTAATTTTGTGTTTGTTCCTATTCTATACTGCAAAAAGCAATGAAATACTCAAAAATCTTTAAAATTTGGCAAAATGTATACTCATGTGCACCTTCTACCTTAAAACAAGATCTGGCAATGGGACAAAGAAATAAGCCATATGGGCCATTATTCAGAACCTCAACATGGAGGAACAGCAGCTCTCCTCTGAGCTCCTCCTATGTGACTGATCATAATCTTTTTCTTTGATCTTTATCATTAGCTGTAGGTGTTTTCCCGCTGATCCAATAAGTCTTTCACGCTCTGAGTATACGGGGCATTTGTTGCAATGAGACGTTCTCCTCTTGGTTCTTCTACTATTTACTTTAGGGCAGAAGAAAGAAATCGATCGGAATCAAGTTTGTGTCAATGATAAAAGTTTGAATAGTGTTTATTAAACCAATAAAGGGACCAGAACCAGACCGAGCAGAACCAGACCGAGCAGAACCAGACCGAGCAGAACCAGACCGAGCAGAACCAGACCGAGTAGAACCAGACCGAGCAGCGCCAGACCAAGCAGCGCCAGACCGAGCAGAGCCACTGTTTATGAGACTAGAGTTCAATAGTTTAAAGAGCCATGGATAGAGACCAGAGAGAGACCAGAGAGAGACCAGAGAGAGACCAGAGAGAGACCAGAGAGAGACCAGAGAGAAACCAGAGAGAGAGACTAGAGAGAGACCAGAGAGACCAGAGAGAGACCAGAGAGAGACCAGAGAGAGACCAGAGAGAAACCAGAGAGAGAGACTAGAGAGAGACCAGAGAGAGACCAGAGAGAGACCAGAGAGAGACCAGAGAGAGACACACAGGTATTACATGTTCTCACAACAACAATACAAGTCACATTTACAATAGTTTGTATGTTTTGTTAAAATTGCATGAATATTATTTTTGATAAATAAGTTCTGATTCTTCCATCGCTTCTTGTTTCCATGGAGAATTTCTACACTTTCAGGCAAAACAACATCTCGCCATCACTGTCAATCCAAGACAGATGTATTCTGCTGCACAATAACTATCTGTGTGTGTGTACGTACATGTGTATGTGTGTTTCTCTGTGTGTGTGTGTGTGTGTCTCTGAGTGTGTGTGTGTGTGTGTGTGTGTGTGTGTCTCTGTGTGTGTGTGTCACAATAGTCCAGAAATACTTTTACTTTGGATTCAAATAGTGTGAAATCTTTCATCTCGAGACTCCTCCAGAACCACTACTTGCGAGGGTTGAGAAAAGGGGTCAGATTTTGGGAAGTTTCCGCTTTTTAACCATCTGCTTAATTGGCGTAGACTGGCAGCGCTTTGTGATTGGTTGAGAGGAGAAGGCTTTGATTGGCTGCAGCAGAGAGTCTACCAGACAGAACCTGCAAAAGCTCAGTTCAGATTCATGTGAAAATAAAGAATCAACAACCAAATCCTCTTCTTCCTCCACCTCCTCTACCGCCTCCTTTTCTTCCACATCCGCCTCTTCTTCACCCTCCTCCTTCTCCTCTTCTTCCTCCTCCTCTCCCTCCTCTTCCTCCTCCTTCTCCTACTCATCCTCTTCCTCCTCCTCTTCTTCCTCCATCTCCTCCTCCTCCTCCCCCCTCCTACTCATCCTCCTCTTCTTCCCCCTGTTCTTCCTTCTTCTTCTCCCACTCTTCCTCTTCCTCCCCCTTCTCTTCCTCCTCTTGCTCCTCCCCCTCCTCTTCCTCCTCCTCCTCCTCCTCATAGTTAAACATAAATTAGCCTCCAGCTGTTCTTAAACACCATCGTAGCCCTGGCTCTCCTCCTCCTCCTCTTCCTCCTCTTCCTCTTCCTCTGGGATGGCATCAGTATTAGCTCAGCTTTTCTCTGGGCCTAATGTAAAGTGGAGAGTTCCTTTGAGCGGAGGCAGAAGCGTGCGCTAATGAAACATGTAAATGAGGCTCTGAACCAGAGTCTTATTGGATATCGACCTGCTCCTCTACCTCTTCCTCCTCCTCCCTTCCTCCTCCTCTGCGCCTCCATGAGGTCTGAGCCAACTCCAAATCCATCAAACTCTCACGGATCAATCCTGCGCTGATGAAGAACTATGTGGAACAGGCGTCTGGCTAATGAACGAGAGATGAACAAGAGAGAGAGTGTGTGGCTCTCTGGTCTCTCTCTCTCCAACCTCTCTGTCTCTCTCTGGTGTCTCTCTCTCTGGTCTCTCTGGTGTCTCTCTCTCTCTCTCTCTCTCTCTCTCTCTCTCTGGGGCCTAGATCCTGGTGGTGGGAGCTGGGAGAATGGAGGAAGAGCTGGTCCAGCTGACGAGGTGGTGATGGGGAGGAGGAGGGTTGCTGCATGAATGAAGCTTCCAGTTGAATAACAAGGTGGATGTTTGATTGATGCTGGGTGAGGATTGGGGGTCTGAACTGGGGGAGGACTGAGCAGTTGGCTTGTTTATTTTCTGATTTTTCCATGTTAAAAGTTCGACCGACCGAGTTTCCCAGACTTTTAAAAGACTTCTCAAAACCCAGCTGTTTCACTTAACCTTTTCTGATTTTTTTATTTAAAGTAGCAACATGTAAGATTCTCATGTCAAATACTCATGGCCAAAAAAGGCTTTAATAAACCATGCTCTCTTGCAATACTTCTTTAACTGAAAACTGTGTTTAAACTGTGATATCTGAACTTTACAATTAGTTTTATAGCCCCTAAACCTTTTATTTGTTTTTATTTTGGTGTCACTCCCTCCACCGTTTTACCAATCATAAAGTCTGCAATCTGGGTTGCCAGAACTCATTGCGTTGAGCTAATCACACTGGTATTTAATTATTACAGTAATAAAAAAGGTCTTGTTATAATTCTCAAATCATTAACAACAAAACAAGGAATAAAACCAGGATTTAAGTCTTTGTGAAAAAGGTGTTGGTTATAGATTCGTTGTTGACAAAACTCAGATATTGTGGTCGCAGCTGTATTCGTCTGCATATCTGGCAACCTCAGTCAGGGAGAGTGCAGTAGTTTTGGCTAGATTTTTACATACTCCTTTTTAATGTTTGTGTGAATTGTAAAGCGACACTCATCAAGCGTTTGTTGAGTGTTAAAAATATCGCTATATAAGTTTGCTGTTTTATTATTATTAGACGTGATCGCCATAGTAACCTCTGTGTCTGTCTCTGTCCTCAGCTGGGGGGCTGTGGTGTGCTCGGAGTGGGCATCTGGCTCTCTGTGACGCAGGGAAGCTTCGCCACGCTCTCCTCGTCGCTGCCTTCGATGTCGGCCGCCAACCTCCTCATCGCCGTGGGATCCATCACCATGGTGGTCGGCTGTCTGGGCTGTGTGGGCGCGGTCAAAGAGAGCCGGCCCCTCCTGCTGGCGGTAAGAGCGGCTGGAGTCTCATGTTTATGCTGTTGGTTGGTGCTGGTCATTCTGTCGGTACCGAGGTACTCATGAGAGATCTCCCCATGAATTGTAAACGTGATGGAAACGAGACCAGATTGAAAGAACAGAGAGAGACCAGAGGGAAAGACCAGAGAGAGAGAGACCAGAGAGAGGGACCAGAGAGAGACCAGAGAGAGAGAGGCCAGAAAGAGAGAGGCCAGAGAGAGGGATCTAAGAGAGACACCAGAGAGAGACACCAGAGAGAGGGACCAGAGAGAGGGACCAGAGAGAGGGACCAGAGAGAAGAATCAAAGAGAGAGACACCAGAGAGAGACACCAGAGAGAGACACCAGAGAGAGGGACCAGAGAGAGGGACCAGAGAGAGGGACCAGAGAGAAGGATCAAAGAGAGAGACACTAGAGAGAGGGATCAGAGAGGGACCAGAGAGAGAGAGGCCAGAAAGAGAGAGACCAGAGAGAGGGACCAGAGAGAGACCAGAGAGAGAGAGGCCAGAAAGAGAGAGGCCAGAGAGAGAGGCCAGAAGGAGACACCAAAGAGAGGGACCAGAGAGAGGGACCACAGAGAGGGACCACAGAGAGGGATCTAAGAGAGAGACACCAGAGAGAGGGACCAGAGAGAGGGATAAAAAAGAGAGGGACCAGAGAGAGGGACCAGAGAGAAGGATCAAAGAGAGAGACACCAGAGAGAGGGACCAGAGAGAAACCACAGTAGTCCTTTGAACTAATCACTGTTGCACTTAACGATTGTCTACTTCATCATGTGTCTCTGGTCTCTCTCCGGTCTCTCAGGGATCTCTCTCTCTCTCTCTCTCTCTCTCTCTCTCTCTCTCTCTCTGGTTTTTCTCTGGTCTTTTTCTCTGGTCTTTTTCTCTGGTCTTTTTCTCTTGTCTCTTTCTGGCCTTTCTCCTGTCTCTCCCTAGTCTCTCTCTCTAGTCTTACTGTCTGGCCTATAGCTTGTCTCTGGTATCTCTTTGGTCTTTCTCTCTGCTCTATCTGGTCCCTCTCTCTAGTCTCTCTTTTGTTTTTTCTCTGGTCTCTTTCTCTGGTCTCTCTCTGGTCTCTCTTGTCTCTCTGGTCTCTCTTGTCTCTCTCTAGTCTCTATCGCTGGTCTCTCTCTCTCTGGTCTCTCTCTAGTCTCTGACCAGGGTGCTTAACCTCTTTTTGTCGGCCTCTAGAGAGTTCTGCAAATCTCTTTCACGTGTCAAACTCTCAAGTTTCTTTCACATATATTGAACCCAGTGATCTGGAAGTGTTTTTTGAGGGGATGAGTCGCAGGCTGATTATCAAAACAGACAGTTTCCAATCTTGGGAAACATCTGGATCCCTCTCGGAGAAAGTCGTTAGCGCCTCGACAGAAGTGTTTTCCATTATCTGGAGTCACCACTGTGTTGGAACAGCTTGTCTATTGGCTTTTACTCGTGTTGTGTCCAGTTAAAGTGTTGCTAAATTGTGTCCTGAGTAAGAATACTTGCCGGAGAAAAGCCAGATCCACTCAGATTCTATCGGTTTGAACGGGGGCAGTCAAAGTGTCGGATTCTGGGAGTTCTGGAAGTTTCAGGATTCTTTGTGTATGTGTAACCAGATGATTTTAGTTGGAGTGTCCAGCAGGAGGAGACGCTCTTGAGCTTCACCTAGGCTACGTCTTTCCTCATTCATAAACCAGCAAGGCTTGAGGAAAGACGTGTCCTGGTCTTATTTTAATTTTATCCCCTTTTCAGGTATGGTATGATATGCAGAATGTCATAAACCAGTCATTATTGTTTTATATTGAGTCAATGTATCTGTGAACCGAATCCAGTGTGATAATTTAGTCTAGTCGGCTGTTGTTTCAAGGAGCTCCGCTAGTTGCTAACAAAATTAGCATTAGCTTCTCGTTGCTAGCGCGGGAACAGCGGAAAACGTTGAATGTTAATTTAAATGTGTTCAAATGTAAGAAATATTGTTTTTCTCATTCATAAACCAGCAAGGCTTGAGGAAAGACGTGTCCTGGTCTTATTTTTATTTTATCCCCTTTTCAGGGCTATTACATATGAAGTGTAAATAGATACTTTATTGATCCCCGTAAGAGAAATGTTGGGGTCCAGTATCAGCAAAGCAAATGAATAGATTATTCTAAAAAGCCAACAATAGTTTCAAAATGCTGCAGCACTTTAGGTCACAGCAGCAGATGTGGAGCAGCCGCTTGGTTCGGACCATTTTCTCTGCTCTAGAAAAAGTACAATGCTGAATGTTTTGTAAGAATTTTTGAAAAAATTAGCATTCCTCCAGTGGATTTTTGCCTGATCCTCTTGGTTGGGACCATGATTTCTCTCCGCTCTGGTCTGGATCAGTGCAAAACCATGAACACTGTACTGCATCAACATCGCAGGTAGAAAAAAGCAAGGAAAAAAAGAATTAAAAAGCACAAAACAACAACTGTTTCAGAGCTAGTTAGGACTGGCTGCTGTTTCCAGTGCATTTGAAAGTAAACCAGTAAAGTAAGTAAATGAGCTCCTGGTTTGTGCTCGGAGCTGGTTCAACAGCAGCAGAGACTGGACCGACACTGGACCGACACTGGACCGTCACTGGACCATCACTGGACCGTCACTGGACCGTCACTGGACCGTCACTGGACCGTCACTGGACCGTCACTGCGGCTGTCGGCTCGCTTTCTTCCGGATCAATACCACGTCTGAGTGATGCTTGTGGCTTGTAAATGACCTTTAACAAAGCTATTAAGTCGTTACGGCTCCAACAAACGCAGAGTATGGACTGAAGCACTGGACTCTGCAGCTCCATCGCAGACGAATCAATGAGGAGTTCAGAACGATTTACTATTTTCTAACTCACTACATGTATGCACCAGGGGTTATGGACAGAGCGCTTTTCTGTCCGGGCTGCCCCACTAATCCCACGGAAAACACAGGCTTTGTATTTGCAAATAGAAACTTTGAGATGATTGTGTATTATACCCAAATCAGAAAAAAATAAATAAAATGTATACAACAATATCAATTTGAACTTGATTGCGTTGGTTATGGTTGATGACTGATGTTTTTATATAAAGAATTAAGAAAAGTTACTACAGATGAGTTGGAGAGGGACCTGTGCAGCAGTTTAATACAATTTATTGTTTTGTTCATCGTCTTACTTACAAAATATCTTTTTTATGAGAATCGAAAATGAGCAGAGCACCTGGATCTTAAATAGGAGCAGGAACCACCTACAGCGGATTACACAATCAATCACATAATTAAATATCAGTACAAAGTAATTCAATTCACTTTTGTATCGCCCTAAACCACAGCAGTCGTTATCTCAGAGTCGGTATTGGTCCATAAGGGGCAGAGACCAATGTGCATAAGTGTTGATAATGTTGAGGGTCCTGGATCACCGCTGTCAGACCCTCACAAGACTCTGAAAGATCCTTCTGCATCGGCAAGGGACAAGTCTGAAATAGCCTACAAAGATTAGAGTAAATATAAACGTCCAGAAAACAAGTCAAACCATAGATGATGGGTTTGGATAAAGGCGTCGCAAAACATTTTCATTTTGCAAATAGGACGAAGTGTGGGAATAATTCTCCTCAGATGTTTTTGTTTAAACGCAGATTGTAATTTTCTCCTTTGACTCGGCTGCAGTTTCTTGAAAATGACAAAAGCAGTGAAAAAACTTGTCACCAGGAAATATGGAGAGATTGGCAGCGAGTCTGAGGGAGACTTCACAGAGTTTGGTCAAATGATGAAATTATTTGACACGATAATACCAACATGTGACTCAATCCCATGTCACTCCGCCTCATGTGACTCCGCCCAGTGTCAAAGAACAATTGACTCCGCCCCCAGTGTCGAGAAGCTCCTGTCTCAGTCCTGTATTAGCATGATGTCATAACCACTGTGACATCACACTCAGACCAGTTTTCTGACTTTGTGCATAAAATAGTTTTGGTTTGTTTGCATGGCTGTGTTTAATAATAATAATAATCATAATAATACATAAAACTTGTATAGCGCTTGTTTGGACACTCAAAGACGCTTAACATGGGGAATAAAATACAGTAATAAAAAAGGGACTAGTGCATTGTGAATTGGGTGGCAGCTCTGATTGGCACACCCCTGACCCTGAAATGGATAATATAGTGTTGAAAATGAATGAGTGAATGAAAAAGGGGTTTACGGATAAGCTTGTTTGAAAAGATGGGCTTTGAGACTGATTTAAAGTTTGGTAGTGAGACAGAGTTTCTAATGGGCAGTGGGAGTGAGTTCCAGAGGGTTGGGGCGGCAATATTTGCAGCTGGTATTTATCAAAATTCAAAACAAAAAATAAAATAAAATAAAAAACTCCTTCCTTCTGGTTGTTTCTTGCTGATGCAGGAGGTTAAGATGATCCAGGGCTGGACATTGGTCTCTGCTCCTGATGACCCTTCTCTGGGGTCAGTGGGGCTGTGGACATCTGGAAGGACAATAAGAGCCTGTAGTGAGACCCTCAGGGAAGACAGACTCAGAGATATGGAGTTTAACCAGGACTACTCTACAAGATTATTGAAAGACACATGTATTTACTACATCCTGTGTCCTAGCGCATCCATAAGAGCCCTGTGCTTAGCGTGTTCTTTGTCATTCTTACCATCCTCATTCTCGGAGCTGACCCAGGCTGAAAGCGCTAAGCCTGAATATGACTTAATGTGTTCTGATTATGCCATTAAACTCTTTCTTTAATACAAAACTCAGAGTGCATTCCTTCTCTAACACTATTTACTGGTTTGTGCGAGGAAGAAGATACAACAAGTTTTTGAACTGTTTGATGCTCTGATCTGTTGTTAGTGAATCAACAGTTTTGAAAAGTCCTGAGATAACTACTGTTGTGGTTTAGGGCAATACAAGAACAGATGTGTGTGTTTGCTGTTGTTGCTACATTGTGTCCTGAGTGAGAAAACTTGAGAATACTACAGGAGAAAAGGGAGCTAAACCTCTGGAGCTAAGCAGGACAGGGCCTGGGTAAACTGACACTTTTTTGGGGGATTTTCTCAGAATTCAATTGCTTTAAATGGAGACAGTCAAATTCTGGCCTATGGGAGTTCTGGTAGTTTCAGGATTCTGGGCGTTGTCACCAGACTTTCTTTGACTCTGCTTTGATGATTTCATGAAGTGTAAATGTCCCATAATGATAGAACTCCTGGTTTGTGCTCTCCGCTAGAATGTAACGAATGGCCTTACCTGCAGACCTCTGAAGCTAAGCAGAACAGGGCCTGCATGGTTAGTACTGTGATGGGAGACCTCTGGGAACACCAGGTGCCACAGTGGGGCGGCTGTAAAGGGTCTTGTGTGTGTGAATGGTTGGTGGTGGTGGGAGGGGCTGATGGCACATACTGGTTGCCTCGCTTCTGTCAGTGCGACCCAGGTCAGCTCTGGCTACCGTAGTAGTTTGTCACCGCTCTATATAGAGTGAAAGAAAAAATGTGTCAGAAAGTTAGAATTAGTTTGGACTGTTTTTCAAATGGGCGACAGTGGCTTAGTTGGTAGAGCATTGGCCTTTGAGCCTGAAGGTCGTGGGTTCGAGCCCGCCATACGACCTTCTTCACATGCTGTCGTTGTGTCCTTGGGCGAGACACTTAACCCCACTTTGCCTGAAGTCCCCAGGTCCTGTGGACTCACCACCTGCAGGAGGATCAGTGAGGGGCTGGTGCTCTGACTGCCACCCCCGACCCAGAAATGGATTAAGGGGAAGAAAATGGATGGATGTTTTACAAATGTAATTGTGTTCATGAAATAGAATAGAAAGCAGAGGAAAGACACAGGACTGACGAGTTCATCTGGTGCCTGTACGTCTCTCCACTCTCGCCCTTTCTTGTGGCTTTGATACGGTGCTCCTAGTGCGCGGTGGCCCTGAGGGTGTCTCCCCCTCTCCGCCACTCCCCCTCCCGCCTCCCCCAGCTTACACCTTGCCTTTCATGGTGCTCTTGAACCCGGGCGTTCAGAGCAGTTTCCGTAATCTCCCTGGAACAGCTGCGTGTTTACAGCCGCTGTCAGAAATGTCAGAAATGTCAAACACTCAAGCACATAAACCTTAAAAAGTCTAATATGTTTGTTTTGACTCAGACTTTACCGCTCTGCGCCGTGTTCAGTTGTTGGAGAGAATTCGAATGATTTACCAGCTCCAGCGCTACCGCAGGGGCTTTATCCCCACCACTGTCAGACTGTACCAAAAGTCACTTTAAGTCACTTGCATTGGGACTAAAAAAACCTACACCTCAATTGTCACTGTTTCTTGATTGCCACTTTTCAATCGGTACTTTTATTGTTCATAATACAGAAAAATATTTCCTGTGTGAGATCAATAAAGTCTATCTTATCTTAAATTATCTTATCTTATCTTAGGTGCAGCGGGGACAGTTATTAAATATTTGTGTATGAACATTAGCCTTCACAAAGTGGACAAACACCAGAGAATCAGAATCAGAATCATTTTTATTGCCACGTAAGTAACAGGAGGTCACAGACTAGGAAATTGCTTTGGCTCAGTGCAACAGTCAAAAAGAGATAATAAAATTAAGAATAAAAAAACACTTCTAAAGAATAAATTTAAATTTAAAATAGAGTTACAGTTACTATTTACAATATACAAGTGCACATGGTGCACACAATGTAAGGTGACAGCAGTACAGTGAAGTAAAGTGACGTATGATGGGCAGTAAAGTGACTTTATAAAGGGCGGGGGGACAGGTTAAGAAGTGTTCAAGAGTCCAACAGCAGAGGGGAAGAAACTGTTCTTGTGGCGGGAGGTTCTAGTCCTGATGGACCGCAGCCTCCTGCCTGAGGGGAGTGGATGGAATAGTCCATGTGCAGGATGAGAGGGGTCGGCTGTGATACGACCAGCCCGGCCTCGAGCTCGGGCGACGTACAGGTCCTGCAGAGATGGAAGGCTGCGGCCGATCACTTCCTCTGCAGAGCGCACAATGCGCTGTAGTCTCTGTTTGTCCCTGACTGTGGCTCCAGCGAACCACACGGTGATGGAGGAGGTGAGGATGGACTTGATGATGGCCGTGTAGAACTGTACCAACATCTGTGCAGGCAGCTTGGCTTTCCTGAGCTGCCGCAGGAAGTACATCCTCTGAGACAGAGAAAGCCTTTAGCTCACATGGACTCTGATCGTGCTCCTGTCGTTATGAAAAATAATTATATATTTCGATATGACGTAAGATTGTCTTTAAAAAACACATCCTGAAGATGCTCTGGGGGTGAAATGGTTCTGTTTGTACCATGAGAAAGCTGCTCCATCAAACATCCATCCATCCATCCATTTTCTTCCGCTTTATCCGTTGCCAGGTCGCGGGGGCAGCAGTCTAAGCAGAGACGCCCAGACTTCCCTATCCACACACACCTCCTCCAGCTCGTCTGGGGGGACCCCAAGGCGTTCCCAGGCCAGCTGAGAGACATAGTCCCTCCAGTGTGTCCTAGGTCCCGTGGGAGGCGTCCAGAAGGCATCCGGAACAGATGCCTGAGCCACCTCAACTGGTTCCTCTCGACGTGGAGAAGCAGCGGCTCTACTCCGAGCTCCTCCCGTGTGACTGAGCTCCTCACCCTATCTCTAAGGGAGCGCCCTGCCACTCTGCGGAGGAAGCTCATTTCGACCGCTTGTATCCGCGATCTCGTTCTTTCGGTCATTACCCAAAGCTCATGACCATAGGTGAGGGAGGGAACGAAGATTGACCGGTAAATCAAGAGCTTTGCCTTTCGGCTCAGCTCCCTCTTTACCACAACGGTCCGATACAGCGACCGCATCACTGCGCACGCTGCACCGATCCGCCTGTCAATCTCGCGCTCCATCCTTCCCTCACTCGTGAACAAGACCCCGAGATACTTGAACTCCTCCACTTGAGGAAGGGCCTCTCCACCCACCTGCAGAGGGCAAGGCACCTTTTTCCGGTTGAGCACCATGGCCTCAGATTTGGAGGTGCTGATTCTCATCCCAGCCGCTTCACACTCGGCTGCAAACCGTCCCAGTGCATGTTGCAGGTCCTGGTTCGTTGGAGCCAACAGGACAACATCGTCCGCAAACAGCAGGGATGAAATCCCGTGGTCCCCGCGGTCCCCTCCGACCCCTGGCTGCGCCTAGAAATTCTGTCCATAAACACAATGAACAGAACCGGTGACAAAGGGCAGCCCTGGCGGAGGCCAACATTCACCGGGAACAGGTCAGACTTAATGCCAGCAATGCGAACACAGCTCTGGCTCCGGTCATACAGGGACCGGACGGCCCTCAGCAGAAGACCCCGGACCCCGTACTCCCGAAGAACCCCCCAAAGGACACCCTGGGGAACACGATCGAACGCCTTCTCCAAATTTACAAAGCACATGTGGACAGGTTGGACGAACTCCCATGAACCCTCGAGTATCCGATAGAGAGTATAGAGCTGGTCCAGTGTTCCACGACCGGGACAAAAGCCACACTGCTCCTCCTGAATCCGAGATTCGACCATCGGCCGTAGCCTCCTCTCCAGTACCTTGGAGTAGACCTTACCGGGGAGGCTGAGGAGTGAGGAGGACAAACAAACTGGACTTCGCACAGACCAGACCTTGCATAGACTGGACCTTGCACAGACCAGACCTCGCAGAGACTGGACCTTGTATTGACTGGCTGGACCTCGCATTGACTGGCTGGACCTTGCACAGACCGGACTTCGCACAGACTGGACCTCGCACAAATTGGACCTCGCACAGACCGGACCTCGTACAGACTGGGCATCGCACAAACTGAACCTCGCATAGACTGGACCTCACACAGACTGGATCTCACACAGACCGGACTTCGCACAGACTGGACCTCACACAGACTGGACCTCACACAGACTGGACCTCACACAGACCGGACCTCACACAGACCGGACTTTGCACAGACTGGACCTCGCACAGACTGGACCTCGCACAGACTAGACCTCGCACAGACTGGACCTCACATAGACTGGTTGGTCCTCGCATAGACTGGACCTCGCATAGACCAAACCTCACATAGACTGAACCTCGCATGGATTGGCTGGCATTATTATAAACTATTGTTGGCACTTGGCACTTCACAAACACCTGATTGTGGACACTGGTTCATCATTCACTAGATTTCAACACAGTGTAGTGGATTTGGACACTCCACAGTGGGTAACCAAAGATGTACGTCGGACTGAGCACATTCACATTCATAAGGTCTGTCCTTCCTGCGGCTGTCAGTCTGTACAATGAGATCTGTTGAGCCTGCACATGTCATTAATCTGTAAATAAGTAAACACTGCAATCCTCTGCAACGTGCAATACTGCAACTTCAGAATGTCCACTGAATGTCACTTTATCTACTTATTACCTGCCCTATGTGTTTATGACTTTGCACTACAGTAAATATATTTATTATACAGCTCCTCACTGCAGCAGCAGAACGCCTCATTGATTTGAATGTAATTTCAAAACGTTCTACCGTTCATTATTTCTTGATAACCGACCTTTCAAAACAATAATGACCGCTGCAAAGCAATCTCTGCTTTTGTAATTCAGGCGTGTAGATTACTCCAGACAGTAGTCCAGCCACTTCATCACAACTACTGTCTCTGCGAAGAGAAGCTATCAGAGCTATCCACGCTTAATGAATACAAATATCAATCAATCAACACATTTAAATGTTAATCAGAGAATACATTATACAGATACATTATACAACACATGTGCACGGAGGTTTTCAGAATTATTGTTGAATGCTTTTTTGACAAAAATACTGTTTTAATGGATAGATAGATAGATAGATAGATGCTTTATTCATCCCCGTAGGAGAAATTCATGTGTCCAGCAGCAGAAGACTCATCCAGGTTTGTTGTACAGTCTGACAGCAGAAGGAGTAAAGGATCTCTTGAAACGTTCCGTTCGGCAGCGCAGTGATAGGAGCCTGTTGCTGCGATTATTCCTCTGAGCGGCCATAGTGTCATGCATAGGGTGTCTGGAGTTACCCAGGATGCCCTGCATTAGAGCCCTCATCCTTCTATCCAGGACAGCTCCCACAGAGTCCACACCTCTCCCCATCACAGAGACACATTTCTTGATCAGCCTGTCGAGCCGGTTACTGCGCCAAAAAGCGACCGTGGTAAACCCAAAAGTAACCATTAACATCAGTAAAACATTTTAGGACACATGATACATTTCGGAGGATCTGATCAAGAATTTAGGTTGAGTTTATATTTGGGTCACTCACCGCTGATGTTCAGAATTCTTTGTTCAGTTTTCATGTAGTTCTGGAGAGTTCTAGTTTTGAAGTCTAACTGTTACTCCGTTGCCCTGACGGTGCTTATTATCCGATAATGACCTGCCTACTATACATTATCCCTTACGTAGAAGTGTATTGAGGCATTTACAGCTAGCTAAAACACACAGTAGCTAATGATATTGTATATTTTGTGTGCTACCTGTGTCTCTTACTACCACAAAGGATCTCTTCTCTTATCCTAAATATGGAAACATAAAAATGTAATTCCATTAACAGCGTCAAGCAACAAATATATGTAAAATTATAATTTAAAAAAACATACTCATTAATTGTTCGTCTGCACTGATTTCCCGTCTTCTTGACTCAGACTCGAAGGTTGGAGGCAAAACAATTTGGACTTTTTCCATTTCCAAAGCATTTTCCCCAAAGCCAAAGAACAAACTCAGACCTATTTTACTCCTGTTTGCCACAACAATCCTCCAAGGACAGGCTTCATGATGAAAACAATAGTGTATTGTTGTTTGTGTGGCGCTGACAGCACAGACTCCGTGTTCCCAGGACTTTGAACTGTGGAATCTCAGAGTCGCTGATCAAACGCAGACGGAGTAAACAAACATGGCCGACTTCTGCGGAGCCGGCTCGCCGTAAGAACGAGATCGACAACATATAAATCTCGTATTCACTTTCTCTGTGGTAAAAGTCACACTCACTTTGGATTTAAGTGAAAAGTCTGCAGCCGCTAACACAAGATGGAGAACTGGCCTTTTATGTCTATGCACAAGAATATACTGTGTTTTATACTTGCTTTTTTATCATGCTAAAGTTAGATATTATTTACTTTATTAGGCAAAGGCAAAGGTAAAGGTGCACTTTATTTTTCCCCCTCGGGCAGTTCATCCTCTGTATTTTTAGTTTAGTTTAGTTTATTTGTTTATTTGAGCAATACACATTGTGCTCAAAAGGAGTGGGCTGAAGTAAAAAGCTTATGAGCCCCCACCCCCAAGTGCAATACATAAAAAAAGAACATTTCAAAACATTTCAAGCAGCTACATTCGTACAGACCAAATTACAACAAACAACAAAAATATATTAACTCTTTATATAATTAATTGGAACAACGCACAGCTACAACAACAATCTAGTTTCATATACGATGTCTAGAACAAAGCAAGTCAAAAAATGTGTTACTTAATATATTGCTTGCAGATTTTTACCCGTGATTACAGAGTTACTTTTATGGTATAAAAGTACATTAATAGATATTATAATCTGGGATCTTGATACTTTCCAGTTGTCATTACCATTCTCAGTATAATTTTAATTTCGGTTTAATTATCATCATCATTATTATATATTTATTTAATTGAGTTATGTGAAGTATGATGAAAGCCCTGCACAGTGCGGTGCATTAAAAAGCCAGAGAGTGAGCCAGTTGAAGAGGGCAGTAACTCCCCTTCAACAAACCCCCACACAGCTGCCCTAACAGCTGATTTTGTAGAATATGTTCCTATGCTGAGTGGTGCATTAAAAGACAAGGTTTAGAGCCCGTTGGGAGGATTCCTCTATACAGATCCCAGACCCAGAGGCCACTGGGCGTCTGTCAGGAGCAGTGGTCGCCATAGTAACAGCGCCCAGGACCCATCTCCAGATGTTGATGCTCTTGGTCAGGACCGGAGCTGAAGGATTTACTTTTTTCCCTCATAACTATTTTAGTCATAGGGGAAACTGGAGCACCCGGAGGAAACCTATGCAAACCCAGGACCTTCTTACTTGCTGGAGTGCTAACCACTCAGCCATCGTGCTTCCAAGTCGTCAATGTATTGCACCAAAGTCAAAGATTTAGTAGTTCCTTTGGCCATTGTGTGTTTTTTTATTTATTTATTAACCTTTATTTAACCAGGAAAGTCCCATTGAGATTAAAAACCTCTTTTTCAAGGGAGTCCTGGCCAAGAGGCAGCAAAATATACAGTTTAAGAATTACATACACATTACATACTCATTATAAAAAACATTTACAAGAGGTTGACTCAAGTGCTCTCACTTTGGACTTAAATTCGTTCAATGGAATAAGATCAGTTATTTTCCAGTCTTTTTGCAACGTGTTCCATGTAGAAGGAGCAGAGTGAACAAATGCCCTGTTTTAGATCTCAGGTCACATGTTTACAAAGATATTTTACAATCAGATTTTTTTTTTTAAACTTTATTCTTACTTCTTCATGATGCAAGAAATTTATATTTAGATTAATGTCATAAAAAATATTATTATTAGTATTCATAATAATAATGATAATCATAATAATAACGCATTTGCGAACACACATCTCAAAGTGCTAATGTTTTCTTACTTCTCCTTTGACTCCAGTTCCAGTCTTTAGCCTCCTTGTCCGCAACATTTCTCTGGCTGTTTGTTATTGAGCGGTTCTGAACTACAGAAATTCATGCTGCCTCGCCTTAATAACAGTGAACACCGCGAACACTGGATCCCACCTGCAGGTTTTGTATCAGGGCCTGGGGAGCGTATCCACCCTTGTTTTCCAGCTCATAACCTGCTCCCAGGGCTGGAGGAGGGAGGAAGGGAGGGAGGGGGCTATCGTCTGGATCCTGCTACTGCTGAGAGAGACCAGAGAGAGACCAGGAGAGAGACCAAAGAGAGACCAGAGAGACCAAAGACAAAAGAGAGACCAAAGAGAGACCAGAGAGAGAGACCAAAGAGAGACCAAAGAGAGACCAGAGAGAGACCAAAGAGAGACCAGAGAGAGAGACAAAAGAGAGACCAAAGAGAGACCAGAGAGAGACCAAAGAGAGACCAAAGAGAGACCAGAGAGAGAGACCAAAGAGAGACCAAAGAGAGACCAGAGAGAGACCAGAGAGAGACCAGAGAGAGAGACAAAAGAGAGACCAGAGAGAGACCAAAGAGAGACCAAAGAGAGACCAGAGAGAGACCAGAGAGAGACAAAAGAGAGACCAAAGAGAGACCAAAGAGAGACAAAAGAGAGACCAAAGAGAGACCAGAGAGAGAGACAAAAGAGAGACCAAAGAGAGACCAGAGAGAGAGACCAAAGAGCGACAAAAGAGAGACCAGAGAGAGACCAGTCCGAGAGACCAGAGAGAGAGAGAGACCAGAGAGAGACCAGAGAGCGGCCAGAGAGAGACCAGTCAGAGAGACCAGTTAGAGACCAGAAAGAGACGAGAGATACAGACCAGTCAGAGAGACAGAGACCTGGGAGAGACCAGGGAGAGACCAGTCAGAGAGACTAGTCAGAGAGACCAGTCAGAGAGACCAGTCAGAGAGACCAGAGAAAGACGAGCTGCTGCTGCTGCTGATGTTGCTGCTGTTGCTGCTGTTGCTGCTGCTGCCTCTGGATCAATAGAGTTGTGGGCGGAGATCTTCTCCGGTCTCCGTGACGATGTCTAAATACAGGCGCTGAGCTGGATTCTGGAAATCAATGAGAGGAAATGGAAGAACAGAGAAGAGAGAGGAGGACATGATATTTCTACTGTAGGAGGATCACGATTACACTATGTCCAGATACTTGAACAGAGACTTGTTTAACACTAGGAGAGAGCAGTCAATTTGACGGCTTTTCATCTTGGAAGTGCAATTAACACATGTCTATGTACTGTACATTGTTGGTCTTCATAACACTGTGACTTTAACTTTGTGACCAGAAAGGGACTAGAGAGAGACCAGAGAGAGACTATAGAGAGAGACCGGAGAGAGACCAGAGAGAGACCAGAGAG